GGATCTTGGCGATAATGACATCATCAAATGATGACTTGGGGATGGTGACATCATCAAAGGATCTTGGCGATAATGACATCATCAAATGATGACTTGGGGATGGTGACATCATCAAAGGATCTTGGGGATGATGACATCATCAAAGGATGACTTGGGGCGATGACGTCATCAACCCACGTTGCTATGACATCATTGCACGAGGCATGCAGCATTTTCACGATGTCATCGTTAGGTGGGGGTCCTTCCTGACAATCCGTCTTCTCCCCACCCCTCCCCTCTCCAGAACGACTCCTCGAGTGACAGTGACACCGAGAGCGAGAGCAGCTTCTCCATGTTGCAGCCTCAGGATTATCTGGGCCTGGCGGTTTTCTCCATGCTGTGCTGCTTCTGGCCACTAGGCATCGCTGCCTTTTACCTGTCGCAGAAGGTGAGTGTGAAGGACCAGGAAGGGAGCGTTGAGGATAGATGGACAGACTGGGAGATAATGGTTCTTCTAAACACAGCCAAACCTGGAAGCCACGAAGCTCCACGAAGGTCCAGCAGGAAGTGCTAGAAGAGAGGGGGTTGTGGGGAAGAGGAGGGGAGGAGGAGAATGATGAAGGGGAGGAAGAGGAGGAGGTAGAAGAGGACTGTGGGGTCCTTGGTGCTCTCTGAGTTTGGTGGTTTTCTTGCAGTTGTTTCGTGGCCCAAGTAGGTAGCATTATCAGTGGGGTTTCCAGAGAGGAGGAGGAGGAGGAGGAGGACGAGGAGGACGAGGACGAGGACGAGGAGGACAAGGAGGACAAGGACGAGGACGAGGACGAGGAAAATGATGAAGGGGAGGAAGAGGAGGAGGAAGAAGAGGACTTCAGGGTCCTTGATGCTCTCTGAGTTTGGTGGTTTTCTTGCAAACATTTTAATACCACCCTAGGTATCAACATCAGTGCTAGAAGGAAGTGGGGTTTGGATGGAGGAGCAGAAGGGGAAACAGGAAGTGGACAGTGAGGTCCTTGGTGTTTTTTGAGCTCGGTTATCTTTCATTTTATGGCCCAACTAGGTAACCTCATCAGTGCTAGAAGGCAGTGGGGTTTATAAGCAGAGAGCAAACCCCACTCCCTTCTAGCACTGATGACATTACCTAGTTGGGTCATGAAACGTCTGCAAGAGAACCGCCAAGCTCAGAGGGCACCAAGGACCCCATCGGTTCAACCCTGAGCCACAAATATTCTGACGAACGAAGTCGAATACCTATCCAAATATTCACGGCAGCTAGAATTGTATTTGCTAAAAATTGGAAAAAATGAGAAAATACCAACACAGGAAGAAGTTATTTACGAAATAATGGAATGTGCAGAAATCAGTAAATTGACATTTGAAATTAGAGAGCAAGAAGATAAGCAATTTCATAAGACAATTGGTTGGTCTCCGGGTGCGCTTCAGGATACTGATGACCATCTTTAAAGCACTCCATGGTAGTGGATCTNCAACTCCCTATGGCCAACTCTCTATGGCCAACTCTCTATGGCCAACTCCCCATGGCCACAACTCCCCACAGTCAACTCCCCATGGCCAACTCCCTACAGTCAACTCTCCATGGCCAACTCCCCACGGCCAATTCTCCATGGTCAACTCCCCATGGCCATAGTCAATATTGCCATTTCAGCCAACTCCATCAACTTCCGCAGCCACTTGTCCAAAGTAGGAATCGAAGCGTCCTTCCATTTTTGCGCATAGAGTCATCTGGGGGTTTTCAAAGAGATTTTCGGAGCATCCCTCTTCCTGTGCAAACGACCGATGCCTCGGTGGGACCTAATTTTATTTTTATTTTATTTTATTAATGCCGAATCGCTCTGATGAAAAGCCATTTATTCCACCGACTCCGGGCTTTTGTTATCTCGGCGATATTTCATGGGGCTGACCTACTTTGGCTCAACAGAGTGGCATTGGTGACGAGTATTTTGGCTCGGCTTTTCAAGTTATCTGGCTTCCAGTTCAGAGAGGAGGGGGCGGTTTTGCTTCCGTGGGTTTTGTGCCCTGATTCAATTCTTTGCTCAAAAGGGAAAGTGAGGCATCAAACCCTCCCCCTCGACCAGAGGGGCAGGCAAGAAGGGGAGGAGAGGAGACACAGGGCTTTGGCTCACGGTAGTATTGCAACAATATTTCTTTCTTTTTTTCCCCTGTCATTTTTAAAATTAGTTTATAGTATAAACTAATACAGGTAGTCCTCAACATATGAGCACCACTGAAATTTATGTTGTTGAGTGAAAAAAACCACAACATCTGGACGCAAATTCTTCCATTGATTAATTGATTCATGAACAACTTGCCTCCAGAAGTTGTGAATTCTCCAAGGCTGGAAGTTTTAAAGGAGTGATTGGATAACCATTTGCTCTGAAATAGAATAGGTTCTATTCTATTCTATTCTATTCTATTCTATTCTATTCTATTCNGAGAGAGAGAGAGAGAGAAAGAAAGAAAAGACATGGCCGGCAAGCCACTCCCACCAAGTCACATGGCCGGCAAGCCACTCCCACAAAGGAGGTCACACCCACAGAGTAGGTTTGAAAATTTTTTGAAACCCACCACTGGACTAGAAGATTTCTAAGGTCCAGTGGTGGGATTCAAATAATTTAACAACCGGTTCTCTGCCCTAATGACCAGCTGGGGGTGGGGGTGGCTCGATGGTCATGTCACTGGGTGGGCGTGGCCAACTCAATGTCACTCACATCAATGGGCGCTTTGCCTTAGCTGTGACAATGTCATAAGGGTTAACAGGAGACGCAGTTTCTGTAAGCAGGGTAAAATAAAGATTAGGCTAGAAACAACACCAGAATGTTTCCTTCCTGCCTTCCTTACAGGATTAGCCCTGGAAAGTGGAAAGAAACAAAAAGAGATTTCTTCCAACAACCGGTTCTACGAACTGCTTAGAAAGTTAACAACCGGTTCTCCCGAATAGGTGCGAACCGGCTGAATCCCACCACTGCTAAGCTCCCTTCCAAGCCTCTTGTCCTGTGTTCTGTGATTCTCCTCCCAGGCCAAACCGAAGGAGAAGAGGCCCCAAAGCTTTGCGGTGTTGTGTTCTGGCCGAGGGCTTAGCGTGGAAGTGAGGCTAAATGAACAGCCTCCAGCAACTACTCCAGATCCGAGCTGGATGTAATTCCCTGCTTTTCTTCCCACCCCCTGTGCTATAATTTAAAATCCCTCTGGGATTCCCACAGGAACAAAGTTGCACAGCATGTACTGAGAAAGCCGAATTTTAATTTAACCGGATTTTGGCTTTGCGGGAACGGACGGACGGGGGGGCGGCGATGGCCAGGATCTGAATGCACCAATTTTTATCTATCCATGTTTTGGGAACAAGCGGTGGATATCGTGGTTAGCAGCCTAATGGGTTGTAATTTTAGTATAGTTAGTGAAGACCGTGTATAACTTGACAGACTGGGTTTTATTACAGATTTTAGTTGTTCTTTCCTGTTTTCTCTGCAATTTTTAATTGGATATTCACGGAGCGTTTTTTATTTGTTCTGGTCTCTGATCTCAGAGGGTAATAAAACGGATTGATTGATTGATTGATTGATTGATTGAATGGTTAACCTAAGGTGGGTTCATTTTAAGGTGCCAGCCCTGGAAGCCAAGAGGGACATCACAAAGGGATGAGCAATCTGCAGCTTCTGGATGGAGTCGAACTACAAATCCCAGCAGCCCCAGCCAGCACAAGGGAGGGCTAGGCTTGCTAGGCGCTGAGGCCTGCCTGGTGTCACTGCCTCAAGGGGGCAATGCTGAGAATGAGGGATGCTGGGATGTGTAGAGGTAGACTTGGATTTACGACCAAAAATTGGTCTTGTGGCCTCTTGGCTGCTATCCCCTCCACCAGCCAATCAGAAGAGGAGGAGGAGAAGGAGGAGGAGGAGGAGGAGGAGGAGGTGGTGGTGGTGGTGATGGTGGTGGTGAGGGCGTCAGGGTCAGCATCAAGGCAACCTGGGAACTCCATGGGGAAGAGGGAATGGAGCTGGCAGAGTGAGAGAGAGAGAGAGAGAGAGAGAGAAAGACAGACAGAGAGAGAGAGGGAGATACAGAGAGAGAGACACACAGAGAGAGACAGAGACAGAGAGCGCGAGACAGAGAGAGAGAGACAGAGAAAGACAGAGAGACAGAGAGAGAGGGAGATACAGAGAGAGAGAGAGAGAGACAGAGAGAGAGAGACAGAGAGAGAGACAGAGAGAGAGAGGGAGATACAGAGAGAGACACACACAGAGAGAGACAGAGACAGAGAGACAGAGAGAGAGGGGGAGATACAGAGAGAGAGACACACAAAGAGAGAGAGAGAGAGAGAGAGACAGAGAGAGAGANCAATACATAATTTAAAAACACACAACAGTCATACCATTCGAGACGGGGGCAACAGCTCTTTAGCCCCTTTTTCTCTTCCTCTCCTTCCTTCCTTTCTTCCTCCCTCCCTCCCTTCTTTCTCCTTCATTTTTTCTTCCTCCCTCCTGCCCTTCCTCTCACCTTCCTTCCTTCCATCCTCCCTCCATTTCCTTTTCTCTTCCTCTCCTTCCTTCTTTTCATTCTCCCTCCCTTCCTTCTTTCTCTCCCTTTTTTCTTCCTCCTCCTCCTTCCCTCCCTCCTTCCTTCCTTCCACCCACCCTCCCTCCTTCCCTTCTTCCTCTCCTCCCTCCATCCCTTGTCACAACATCAGTTCTTCAAACCAGACCCCAAAAAGGGAACATCCCCCCACATCCCATATAAACACACATCCCAGTCCCTTTTCCATGAACAGGTGAAAAAAAAACCTTCCCTTGCTCGGCTGGAATCAAATTCCTTCTCTCCTGTTGTGTCTCAAACAGGAGCTGCCCCCACCCGCCCCCAAAAACCACCTCCAAGGGATGCCGTCAGCAAGTTCCCCTTATTTGCCCTCCTGCCACGGCAAAGAAACTTCCAGAAGCTTCATCCATCCCACCCACCTGGCAGCGAAGAGCAAAGCCGCATTAACACCCTGGCCACCCACACATGACGCTGAAACTCGGTTTAGCCAAGCCAGGCTCCGAGCAAGACACCTCCGCTCTCAGCCCACGAGGATAACAAGCTTCATCACACCTCTCCTACTTCCCCCCCCCTCCACGCAGCAGGGTTTGTTTTATTTTTATTGCAAAAGTGACACACCCAATTGACCCCCCTACGTTTTTGGGGTGCAAAACCTCAGCACAAAGCCGCCAAACCTTGGGTGAAAAAACCCACCCCGAGTTGTGGAGAGGGGGGGGGGTTGCCTTCGTCATTTCAGTCAAGTTTTCCACCCATCCAAGAAGAACATTCGGGAGAAAAACATTTGAATTGTCAGAGAGAGAGAGAGAACATGTTGCACTCCACGAAGCCAGAACAAACCCATAACACAACAACGCACGTCGTTTTATTTTTATTTTTATTTATATATATATATATATACAGAGC